CTGTCTCTATTTTCTCCATTTTCCTATCACCACTCGGTCCTTCTCTATGTCCATTCCCCCACTAATGACTGTATTTTTCCGTGGCTGCCTCTGTTTCCACCATCATCATGGCCCTCACTCTCTCAATGGCTTTGTTCCACCTTCCCTCACTTCCCCCCAGTTCTTGCCCTTACCTCCTCTCTTCCCCTTTCTGTGTCCCCATTACTGCTTCCCTCCTCCCTCACTGCCACCCACGTCCTCATCAAGGCCCTTGTCTCGGTCTCACAAGATGTTGAACTGCAGCAGCTGGATTGCGAGACTCTCGAAGAATCCCTCCATGGCGAACTTGGAGGCAGCATAGACATCATTGAACACGACACCTGAGAAGATTGGTGGGAGGACTGTGCTTTTGAGAGCTGGGTAGCAGGGTTTTTTTTTCTTTTTTTTTATTGGGAAAAGCATATTGGGGGTACAAAGAAGTGAGGGTTGGGGGAAGAAGGGTGAGGTTGGGCCAGGATGCAGTTGCAGAGCTGCACAGTTTGGTCAGTGGGGGGAGCAGGTGAAGGAAATGATGAGGGTCCAGTGGGGACCAGATGCTACAGAGGAATGACAAGCATTTTCCAATAGTAATTAAACCAACTGTCTTATTGAGTAGGGAATTGGATGCCGACTCTCTGGCTTCTTCATGCTGAACAGGGGCGTAGATGTAAAGGGGGGAAGGGAGGACGCTTTATCACCTTACTGGTGGTCTTGGGTTAAAGCTGCTTGCCTTGGGTAGTAGGTTTTGAGGGTCCAGAGTGATAGGGTTTGGGGATGACAGTGCAAAGAGGGTTTGGGGATCAGAACAAAAGTTTGTCTGGAGGCAACATGAAATATGGCCTCATACAGAGGAGAATGTTGAGGTCTGGATAAGGCTGTCTTAGGGTGCCAGGTACCACTTCTCCACAGAAGTGTTCCCTTCCCCTGCCCTTGACCCAGGAATCGCCCTTATTTCCTTCCTTCTTCTAAAGTCCCCGGGCTGCTTGGGTATGGGCATCCTAGAGGTCCTGGGAGCAGACTCTGTTCAACAGAGCCCTGGCTTGTTCTTGTTGGACTGTGGCCCTCAGATCAGGAAGTGTAGCTGGAAGAGGACCAAAGGATGGGACTGAGGAGCTGCAGCTTCTACACGGGATGTTGACAAGTGTGGAGAGCTCCTTGAGGTCTGCTGCGGAGGGGACAGATCCCAGGAGGAGGACTGAGGATCGAGAGGAGTTCAGGGAGGAAAGCTTACGGAGCATGGAAGACAATCAGACGGTCACCATAGTAAGACCGTGATGTTGTTGTTGTTAAATGCCCTCGAGTCCTAGGCGACTCATAACAACCCTATGAACTTTCTTTGTTTCTCCAAGTTCATAGGGTTTCCAGAGGCCAGCTATTTTGGAAGTGGATGCCACTCCTGCTCCCAAGCTTGTTTTATTCGGGAAGCTCCACCAAACACTGTCTGCCATGGGTGACCAATATTGCATTTGGCACATCAGTGTCACAGTGGTTAATGTCATGGCAACCATGAATTACCTCTGTAACATTGATAGACCATGATAGACATTGCTAATAAATTACTGCTCTTTTTTTTAAACAGCTTTTTATTTTGTTTTACTATTTTGTGAGTGTGTTATGTGTACCGTCAAATCAGATCTGACTGGTACAGGAGATTGTTCCTCCTTCTCCAGCAGAGTATCTGGTGGATTTGAACCATGCACCTCTGAGATTGCAGTACCCTTCTTGCCACTAGACCATCAGAGCTCGCTTGCTCTCTTTTCAGAACAGCACAACCTCATCACCATTGAGTCAGAACTGACTCACAGCTGACCCTCCATCTGGTTTCTCAGGCTGTAAACCACACTGGAGGAGATTGCTCATGCTTCTCCCATGGAATTTGTGGTGGATCTCAACCACCAGACAGGCGTGGTCTTTGAGTTAACAGCACAACTCCCTACAGACTGGGCCACCTCAGAGCTCCCTTCTGCTCTTGTAAGCCATTTAGTCATCTCTGGGGCCTGGTGTGTGGGATTTGGCAGGAGGAGTCCTGATTATTCCTCTGGATTTGAGGAAACAGTTAGGACAGGCTTCTGGCATTCATGCCATCATTGCTTATTCCTGCATCTCGACAGACATGGTTAATCCATCCCAGAACATCTTCCTTAAGAATTTCAAAATCCTTCAATGCTGTTCTGCAGGCTCATTTGCAATATGAGTGCAATGACCCTATTTGCCAGCTTTCCAGACCGGGGAAGGTGAAACTCCACGAGTGTCCTTAGGGGCTGGGTCCTAGGACTCACCCTGCAATCCCATGACACTGCTGACCACCACAATGTGGCCCTGTCGCCTCCTCTTCATGCCGGGAAGCACAGCTTTGACCAGACGGACAGCCCCGAAAAAGTTGGTGTCAAAGACATTCTGCATGGCAGCCATGCTGAGCCCCTCCAGGGGCCCCACCAGGCCCACACCAGCATTGTTCACTATAGCAGGGAGAAGTGGTGGGGTCACTCTGAAATTCCCCCAGCCCATCCAGTGCTACTTCTCAGGGGGACTCCTCAAGTCACTCCAGCCCCACTCCAAGTTCAAGGCCATTCCAGAGGGTGGGCAAATGTGGAGCCTTGCTTATGTGGACCTTAAACACACTTTGGCCTTTTTTAAAGGAACCCTGAGTCTTGTGATAGAGGAGGGGCCCCTGGGTACATAGTATTCCCTTTGGATTTGTGAGCAATTCAGCTGTGACCCCAAATTGCATCAACATAACCACAGCCAACTCAGAAGGTAGCTGAGAGACCATGAGCTATTTCTTCCTTATGCTGTCTTTCTCAAGTGATTCATTAAAATAATTTTCCCAACCATAAATGGCTCTCTCCATATGAGAGAAATTCTGTTGAGTAAAATCCACCCGACCCCTAGATCTCAATATATTTACAGTCCTCCTAACAGACTAATTTATGACCTGAACTGTTGGCCAACTAGTCTACCCTTCTGTCCAGAACCACAGAGGAAAGGAAGGCACAGATAAACTAAAGAAGGGCTTGGCTGAGATGGAAATCTGTACTTGGATCGGACAAGGAGTGACTGATCTCGGGCCCTGAGCATTCTCACCCAGTACGTCCACTTCTCCTCCCTCGATGCAGCTGAGGCACTGGGCCACCGACTCGTCACTGCACACATCCAGCTGGGCCACCGTAAGGGTCTTTCCCAGGGCGTCCCCGGCAGCTGCTTCCAGCGGCTCCTTCTTTCTCAGGTCCCTCATGGTGGCCACCACTAGGAGCAGAGAGCAGAGCTGCAGCGGACACTGGGCTCCTTCCCACTCGTGTGCAGACTTGTGATCTTGTGTGTGCATCGCAGGAGGATGGACACTCACAAGTGGACACACTCACAATCATCACACATGCACAAGTACACACCTGCGGACACGTCTCCACAGTACTCATGTCTATCTGCTCAGCAATCAGTGTATCCATATATACTCACATCCATCCAATCAGCAATCATTTCTTGACTGTTATTCATTATCTCATGTTCTAGATGCTATTGCGTGAAATGAAAGAAAATAGAGTTCCTGTCCTTCTGGAATTCGTAGCCTAGTATATAATCCAGGAAATCTAATTGTCCTCCTCTTGTCTTTAAATCTTGTTTTTGAGCGGGCAATACAGGAGAACTAAAGAAACGACATATGATCAAGAGGCAACGGTGATGAAGGAGGACGTAGAGGCTGCTTTAAAGGACTCTGAAAAAAAAGTCCCCAGCAATTGATGGAATACCAATTGACATATTTCAACAAACAGATGCTGCCCTGGATGTGCTCACCAGGTTGTGCCAAGAAATCTGGAGTACACCATCTGGTCAACTCACTGGAAGAGAACCATATTTATTTCATTTCCAAAAAAAAGGAGTCCTAACAGAGAGTGGAAATTATCGAACAGTATCACTAATATCATATGCAAGGAAGATCCTACTGAAGATGATTCCAAAACTACTGACCCAGTACATTGACAGAGAACTATCAGAAATACAAGCTGGGTTTAGAAGAGGTTGTCACAGTAAGACATTATTGCCAATGTCAGATAGCAGAGAGTGCCAGAGGAATGTCTAGCTGTGTTTCGTTGACTATGCAAAAGCATTTGACTGTGTGGATCACAACAAACTGTGGCCAACCTTGAGGAGAATGGGAATCCTAGAACTTGTGATTGTGCTTATGTGAAACATATACTCAGATCAGGAAGCAGTTCTCAGAACAGAGCAAGGAAACACTGCATGGTTCAAAATCAGGAAAAGAGTGTGGCAGGGAGGTGTCCTGTCTCCATACCTTTTCAATTTGTATGCAGAATAGATCATTAGGGAAGCAGGGCTTTATGAAGAGGAGTGTGGCATCATGACTAGAGGAAGACTCATCAACAGCTTGCATTTTGTGGATGACACAATCTTGCTTGCTGACTGAGGAGGACCAGAAGTGCTTGCTGCGGAAGGTCAAGAACTGGAGTCTTCAATATGGATTGAAGATCAACATCAAGAAGACAGAGATTCTCAACAGTGGGCCAATGGGCAGCACCATGGTAGATGGAGAAGAGATTGAAGCTGTTAACAATTACAGCTTGCTTGGCTCCACAATCAATACTCTTGACACCAGCAGTCAGGAAATCAAAAGATGAACTAACTACACTGGAAAAATCTGCAGTCAGGGACTTCTCCAGAGTACTGAGAAGCAATGATGTCAGTCTAGAGACTAAGGTATACCCAATCCATACCATGGTCTTCACAATTATTTACTATGTATCAGAGAGCTGGACAATGACGAAGGATGACAGAAGAAGAATGTATGTCTTTGAGGTGTGGTACTGGAGAAGTCTTGAACATACCGTGGACCACCAAGAAAACAAATAGGTTTGTGTTGGAGAGGGTTAAACCAAGTTTCTCCTTGGAGGCTAGGATTTTGAAGCTCCATCTCACAAACTTTGGGCACATGGCCAGGAGAGATCGATTCTTGGAGAAAGACATCATTCTTGGAAGAGTGGATGGACAGTGCAGGAGAGTAAGACCCCAGATGAGACAGATTGATACAGAAACTGGGGCAATGAGGGTAGAAGTTTCAGAGTCAATGAGACTGGCTCAGGACAGGGCAGGCTTCAGAGCTGCTGTACATAGGGTCTCTACGAGTGCAGGCGACTTGACGGCACATAACAACAACAACAATAACAATGTTGTGCAGCTTCCAAGATTAAGTCAGCAAATGTGCTGCCATATGCACCGTGGTGGCTGCTCTCGGAACCCTCTGTGGTTGTGTGGCAGCTTGACTGTTCCGAGACCACCGTGCAGCAAGGAAGCCCAATCTAGCCCAGACAGAGAAACCACACAGAGAAGTCCCAAAACTACAGGAAAGGAGAGCAATACCTGTCTAAAAAAGAAGGTCTAGAAATGCCCACTGTTCTGCCTGCCGATGTCGACCTTAGAATCACACAGCTGAGCCCTTCTTGAATCCATAGAAACCACAGAAGATAAACAAATGATCGTCCTTTAAAAGTTACTGTGGTAAAATAGATGTAAAGTCCTTAAGAACAATTGAACGCACAAATTTTCCTCTCTACACGTTTGTCTCTTCTAGATATTCATCTTTATGTGTTTGCTCATATTAGCTATTTCACTCACAGGGGATCATAAAGACCTTCTGTGCTTGAATGATTTCACACAGCGCTGGTGGCCTGGATAGGAAGTTGCCCAGCCAGCCCCAAGGTGGGCATTCGGAATTTAACAGCTGCGCCGAGGGAGAAACATGGGACAGTCTCCTCCAACGTCATTGATTTACAGCCTCTGGAAACCTACTGGAGGTTCAGATGCGAGTCGGTTCTGACTTGACAGCAATGAGAGAATGAGTGAATGTTTTCTAGGTTTGTCTATGTTACAACATACATCAGGATGCTATTTCTCTTAATGACTGATTAATATCCCATTGTATCACTGTTTCACACTTTGTTTATCCATTCCCTTCTTGACAGACCAATGCCTTGTTTCCACCTTTTGACATGATTGTGAATAATGCTGCAATTAACATAGATGATGTTGTTTTTAGCCAACAATTTTGCTATTAGAATTGTCCCCATTATACAGATGAGCAAACTGAAGAAGAGCATGGTGAAGTTCCTTGCTTCACCCTAGAAAGATTAGAACTGAGATTTGAGCCTGGACTTGTTAGAGAACTGACAGCTCTCAAGTCTGACCTCACTGTGCATAACACACACACACACACACACACACACACACACACACACACACACACCTGTGTATTTGTTTCATTTAGCTGTATTGGTGCCCACAATCTCAGGCACACAGTCTCGGGCACAGGGATGCATGGTGGCTGTCTGACTCAGAGGCGCTGGCTGGCTGGCTAGAACAAATGCATTCAATGCAATGCAGGATGGTGAGGATGAACATGGGCCCAGGGCCTGGGCTTTCTGGGTTCAAACCCCAGGTCTGCTACAAGATCACCAGCTGAGCGATCATGACAGTTTGTGCTTCCGTTTCCTCATTTCTAACGTGGGGCAAATGACAGTGGACACCTCAGATGGGGGAATGTGAGGACTGAGTGACTTCTTGGATGTTTTTGTTGTTGTCAGGTGCCATCAAGTCGTAGACGACTCATAGTGACCCTGTGAATGGAAGGCCTGAGCACTGTTCATAGAGTTTCTGGAGGCAAGCCATTTCTGAAGAGGATGCCGCTCCTGCTTCCAAGCTTGTTTTAATTGGGAAGCTCCACCAAACACTGTCCACCATGAGTAACCATTATCATATCTGACATCAGTATCACAGTGTTTAGCTTCACAGCAACCGTGAGTTACCTCTGTACAGCAATGCACAGACCAGTGACTTCTTGGATACAAAATATTTAATGGAGAACCTGGCACATTGGAAGGATTAAAAAAATTTACCCTTTTATGTACACCCTGTTTATTGCAGCTTTGTTCACACTAACAAAGAGTTGGAAGCAACCTAAGTGCCCATCAACAAACGAATGGATAGAGAAGCTGTGGTATATTCACACAACGGAATACTATGCAGCACTGAAAAAAAATGAGCTAATGAACCATTATACAAAATGGGCAACCATGAAGGACATTACGCTGAGTGAAATATCTCTGTCACAAAAGGACAAATACTGCATAGTGCCACTTTTATAAAACAGGACTGACATGGGGGTTTGGAGGAAACTAAGAAAAGAGGGGATAATTACATAACATTGAAATAGTCAAGGGAGAGAACTGTATAAAAGGAATATATGATTAGCTATTATTGGCATGACAAGACTCAAGAATAAGAGTTGCATAGTAAAGTGGCCTTGGGGGTGTGTGTGCTATATAACAATGAAATAACTTCTTTTCCAAAGAAAAAGTGAAGGGGGTTGGGGGGTGGAGGGGCAGGGAGGAAAATGTGCAACAATGAGTGAATGGGAATCCAAGTTCTTTATAAACTTTCATTAAAACCTCAATTAAAAAAATCATTACCCTTTTGGCAGGTCTTTAGGCCCATCTCTCCCCTGCTGTGGGCACCTGTCAGCACAGGCCCTCAGCACTCAGCTCTCCTTCACTCACAGGGATGTGGGTCTGAGACAGAGGAGCTGGGTCAAGTGGCTTAGCCAACTGGGGCAATGGCCTCCCACCCAGCGGCCTCCTCTTGAGCAACAGACCTTTGCCCACTTGACTCCAGGCTGCGGTGGGTCAGGGGTTCTCATGGCTTGGGGTGCAGGCCCTGATACTTGTCTGCAGAGCTGAAGGGGAATATGTCTCTCAGGCTGGAGCACCCCTCCTGAAGGCCCCAAGGTCAGGGACACCTAAGAGGCTTATCTCAGAGGAGCTATCCGGTGCCACCAAGCAGCTGGCATGGAGAACTAGATCTCCCCCCTTCCAGGGGAATTCACTAACGCAGCCTTCCCAGGGAATCCCCTCCGGGACCAGCCTTTCTGGAATTAGCACCCACCCACTCCCATCACTCTCCCTCCGCTGCTTTATTTTGCTTCTAGTTGTAACTGGCAGACACACTGTCATTTCTTTTTGTTTGTCTGTTTAGTATCTGTCCCTCCCTCGCACACCACCATTACCCAGGGCTCAGATATTTTTTTTCTTCTTCTTCTTTCACTTTCTCGTTCACAGCTCTGTTGCCCACAAATTGGGCCCCCAGCACCCAGTAGGTGCTCAAGAAATATCTGTCGAGTGAAAGGACTCCTGGGGAGGGAAGTGGAGGAAGGCATCCTGAAAACGAAGGACTTCTCAGCCTCTTTCTTGCTGAATCCTTCTGGAAAGGACCGGCTTGTGGAGAGGGAGATCCGGGGAGAGACCCTCCAAGTCAGTGCCCACCTCCGCTCCTGCAGGCCCCACCCCGAGCCTCTTACCCTGGTAGCGCTGGCGAGAGTCATGGGCCAGCTGCACGGCGAGCTCCAGGCCAATCCCAGAGGAGCAGCCCGAGATGAGCACGGTTCGGGGTGCGCCGGCCATGTTGATCCCCTTCCCAGGACGCGTGACCTGCTGGACGCCTGACTCCCCGCTTGCATCCTGGCTCCAGCCTCCCCCTCTTGAGTGCATTCTGAGAGCCGCCTGCAGGGCCTTTGCACCGTTGCTGAACAAGCAAGCATCAGGGGAGCCTCTTTTCTGCACCCCATTGAATTCCTCTGTGCCATTTCTTCTCCCCACCTGCCACGCAGTTCTGACCAATAGCTGACCCTCCAGCCGGTTTTCAGAGGCTGTAAATCCTACAGGAGGAGGTTTCCCATCTTTCTCCCGTGGAGTCAAACTGCTTGCCTTCGGGATGGCAGTTCATCTCCTCACCACCAAGCCACCAGAGCGCCTTCGTGATATTTTTACAAAGTTATTCAGGATCAGGGCGAGCTTCAGAGAGGGGAGGAAGCATTTGCTTGTGGTCTTTGCTCCGGGAGAGGAGAATTTAATTGCAGGAAGGAAGCAGAGGAAAGGACAGAGATTATGGTCCCAGAATGGGTCTTTCAAAAAGCGCTTAGCACTGTCCCAGGCCAGGCTAGACTACAGGAAGAACTTCCTAGTAGGGACAGGCAGGGCAGAGATTTTGTGCGATTGTGTTAATAGTAGAAGTCTCAGACTCTGGAAGTCTTGCAGGAGGGAGAAAGGGCTGTTTGGGAGGTTCCCTCCTCCTAGCTGGGGGGCCCAAATCCCCCACAGACCAGATTCAGCCCCACCCCTCTTCTCCAGGGACACAGAGCCTCTTTGTCTGAGGAGTCAGAGCCTGAGAGGGAGGTACTGCCCACTTCTCCCCTTTTTCCCTAATGGCGGGTGCAGTTCAGGGCCCAGGACATGCCCCTTTGGTCCCTCTCTCCTTGGGGGAGCTCCGCAGCCCCTCAAGTCTGTGTCTGTTCAGTTGCATTCACAGAGCTACCTGACCCTTGGGGCCTCTTCACACTGGGGAAGCCTGGTTGTGGTGAGGGTGGGATAGAGGGTGAAGCCCCACCTCAAGAATGACAGGACTCCACTCTGTCCTTCCCAGAGGCAATGCCCTGCTTTGAGGAAGGGCCAGGCGACCCCTTTATTGGGGGGCATGTCTCAGGATGTGGAATTAGGGACAAGGAGCCTGTTTGGGACCTGAATGGAGAAAATAAGGGTTAAGGGTGACTGGAGGATGGAGAGTTTGGGATGACAGTGGGAACTGTGTTTTGTAATCTGTGGTGAGGTTTTGGGGGGTGGGGCCAGGACAACCAGTTCTGGGGCTTGGGTGGGGAGTCAGGAGTAAGACGGGGAACCTCACTGTGGGATCTGGGATGAAGCTTGCAGTAAGATGGGGATTCCTCATCTGGAAGCCTGGGGAAAGGGCGTGGGGTGGGTTAAGAGAGGAGGCAAGTGGGTGAGAGTTTGGGCTGAGGCTAGGATCCCATTTGGGGACCTGAGGGAAAAATAAATGATTTGTTCTACCCAAATCCAGAGGCTAGATGGAGGCTGAATGTTTCCATGAGACTAAAACAACCTTTGAGTGGATCTTAGAGGCTTGGGGCTCAGCCTGAGACCCCGAATCCTAAGGTTGTGTGGAAGCCAGCCTTCGGTTCCACGGTAGGGTGGGGCAAGAACCGCCCAGCTCCCGGCCCGGGGGCGCCACTCCAATTGGCCAATCGGAGCTTAGCGCAAACTTTCCCAACTCCCCACCAGCTGTCAGCCCCCCCTCCACCCTGCTGCCCCGCCCCGAGGCTTGGGAGCACAGGGCGAGGCCTTGGCGGGGTCCCCCGCAGTCTCCCGCTGATCCCGACCGGAGCCGGCCGCCCAAGAGCTCGCGCAGAGCCGGGGAGTCGCTGCGCCCCAGCAGCCAGTGACCCCGCCGGCATGCGGAGTCTCCGGGGCCTGGGCCAGCAGCCGCGGGCCGGCCTCTGTCTGCTCCTGGCGGCGCTGCAGCTTCTGCCTCGGATGCAGGCCGGTGAGCCGGGAGGGAGGCGATGGCGCTCCAAATGCGGGGCCCTGAAGGCGGGTTGGAGTCCGGAATGGGGGCGTGCGCGCCGCTCCTGGAGAATGTGTGTGGCGCGGAGAGAGGCGAGAACCCGAAAGCCCAACTGGAAGCGACTTGTGGGTGTGACAGCGGGGCTGGCCTGGGGAAAGGCGCAGCAGCATGAATGAGATTTCCAGAGGGACGTGTGTGTTGTATCATTTGGTCATTTGGGGTGAAATTGTGTGTGCTACAGTGTGAGAGTTGGCGATTGTGTACGTGTAAGTGATTGCATGAATGTGAATGATTGGCAAGTGCATCAAGTCACCAAAAGGTCATCAGATCGAGGCCACCAGCCGCCTCACTAGAAAAGCTGGGCTGGCGCCTCCCGTTCAGATTCCCAGCCTCCGGGGAGCCCAGGGGAGGGGGAGGTGGCTGCGAGCCAGAACCAGCGGGGCTAGGAGAGTGTGTGACTGTGCTGTTTGAGTCTCAATCAGTGTGGCTGATTTTGGGAAGAACCCTGTGTGCGATAGGTGTGATGGTGTGACGCGGGGTGGCCCCGTGAAGGATGCGCCTGTGAGGAGGTGTGGCTGGTGCTGTGGGGTGCTGAGGAGTGGACGAGAAGGTGGCAGGGGGTCCTTCGGGGTACAGAACTCTTTTAGCATCTTCCCTCGTGTCCTCATCCCTTTTCTTCTGTTTCCCCACTTCTCTTCCCCTCTATCCAGTCTCCCTCTGCCCCCACCCCCGCCCCACGTTCCCCAGAGCCGGCATCAGCACCATGGACAGGGCCTGGCGAGGCCCGCAGCGAGGGGCGAGGCTGGGCGGGGCGCAGGGCGGGGCCGAGTGCGGGGCGGGGGCGGGAGTGGAGGCTGCTCTCTCCAGCTGCGAGGAGAGAGTCTAGGGTGTTTTTCCCGAGGAATTTCTCAGGGGCTCCCCAGGGGTCCCCAGGGGCCTCTGGACGCGTGAGTCAGCGCTGACGCATGCCCAGCTGTGTGCGTTTGGCGGGGCGCCTTGCTCTGCCCTGCAGAGTTTGAGGTGGGGGGAGCCCTGGGCTGGGGGGGGGCTTGGGATCCCTCAGGAGGTAGCTAAACAGACCCACCTGATGGGAAAGACCCCAAGACAAGCTCTCCCGGAAAACCCAACAGAGCACGTACCACCACCACCACCACTGTCATCACCACCACCACTGTCATCACCACCACACCGTCGCTTTTTCCTGAGTCCAGAGAGGTGCCAACCCACATGAATATTCCCAAATTAGCCTGTGCCCATTCTCACACTCATAGTAGTGTGAAGTCTCAGACACCAACTCCGAATTAGGTCCCCAGGGAATCCAGGAATGTTAAACACCAGTCTGTGCCCACACAACCCCATCAGTTAGCCAGCACACAGTCACGGCTTTTTTTTTTTTTTTTAATAATCTTCCTACACTTCCGGGAGATCACACACGCTCCCAAGGGCATGCGTGCAGGCAGCTATAATTCACAGCTAATTGCCTGCTCCCTGACTCGGTCACATTCTCACACATAACCACACGCCCCCAGCATAAGCCCCAGCCATGGCAGACACAGCCTCACCAAAGCGCCCCCGCCCGGTAGTACAACACAAGCTCACGGTCAGAGCTTCAACTCCTGATCGCACAACTGCATTTTCAAACCCTGATCTCGCCCTCCAGTGCACGTGTTTTTGTACATTCACACATCTGCAAACTGTACATCAGCTGTCTCGGACGGGCTCGCACACTTCCGTGCGCATACTCACACCCATGCACGAACACTTGCACACACCTGGGGTAATCTCAGCCACGTTGCACCCTGACCTGCCTTGTCTCTGTCTAGACTCCACCCAGTGTCTCCCTGGGACTCTGGCCAGGACAGGGGGAAAGTCTGTGGAAGAAGGGCAGCTGGGTTCCTGACAGACCCCCCCCACCCCCCCCCCAGCCCTGCAGGCAGGACTCAATGGCTCTTGTGTGTCTCCTTGTCACCAAGCCAGCCATGAAAAGAAAAGGCAGTCAGTCTCTGAAAGGTCATTGCAGAAGGGACACAAGATTGAAGCAGGAGGCATTTGGGTGAGACGTTGGGAATGACTTTTGGCGTGTGAATGAGCAGTAGTGGAGTAGAGACCCCTCCCCACTGCACAGAGGCCAGGGCCTGGGCAGGGGGTCATTGCAGAAGGGACACAAGATTGAAGCAGGAGGCATTTGGGTGAGACGTTGGGAATGACTTTTGGCGTGTGAATGAGCAGTAGTGGAGTAGAGACCCCTCCCCACTGCACAGAGGCCAGGGCCTGGGCAGGGAGAGCCTGGGAGAGCTATGCTGGGTCAGGTCATGGATCGCAGCCCTTGACTGGGGATAATGGTTCCACGGGGGAGTGACCTTTGTGGTCAACAGAGCCTGGGAGCCCAGATCTCAGCCCCAGGGGGCTCTAACCCAAATACCTCTTAATGATAGCCCAGCTACAGAACATGTAATTAGAGATTGGATCTGGTGGGTAGGGAGAATTTAGAAGGAGAAGCGATAGGGCTTAGAGAGAGAGTGAGAGAGAGGCCCAGAGATAGAAGCATGCAGAGAGAGACAGATGGAAGAACCAAAGAGATACTGAGAATCAGGGAGAGCGAGAAGAGGGAGAGAGCTTGCGAACAAGAACAGGAGAGGGAGAGCAAGCAAAGCAATGGAGAAACGGAGAGAGTCTGAGTAGGAAACACGACTGGAAAGACTGATGGAAAAAGTGGAACAGAGAAAGAGTGAGGAGGAAAGTTAAGGAAGGTTATAGCAAAAGGGAGCAGGGAGGGATTGGGGCAGGTCTCTGTGGAGTCTGGGGAAGGAGGGTCCTGATCCAGGAGGAGATTGGATAGGGTCCCCTATCTGAGCCCCCTATCCCACTCAAGTTGGTCCCCCACCCCAGCTCCCAGTGGTGAAGTCAGCAGAGCCACCTCCAGGGTGAGGTCACGGCAGATTCTACAGAACCATTCTCCTGCCAAAAGGCTGGGTCAGGGGGTCAGTGGGACAGGAGGCTGGTGGGGAGGAGGGTGAGCAGGGATCGTGCAGGGGCTTTGTGAACCCAGGGGAGACTCCACCTACTGCTGCCCAAGCCATGTGGTTCCACTTAGAACTGGCCTGGCTGCCTGGGGCCGGGCTGGAGGGCTGGCCTGGATTTGGGTCTGATTGGACCAGACCTTTCCTTCTGAGAGATGAAAGAGGGTCACAGGGAAGAGGTGAAAACGTTATCTGGGAGAGGAGGGGAGAGGTCAGAAGTGTGATCAAATGGGGTGGTCACAGGGTAGTCAGACAGAGGAAACTGCGATGAACAGAAGGAGGTCAGGAGGGGACAGTCAGAAGGTGGCAGTCAGAGGAGGAAACAAAGAAGTCAGACAAAGGAGGCCAAAGGACCAGGGGAAGGAGGTCAGGGCCAGGTGGAAGAACGAGGTCTGACATAACAGAAGTCAGGAGGGAGCTTCAGAGAAGGAGTGGTCAGAGGGAGGCAGGGAGCTAGGAAGTCAGAGGGAGGAGGTCCAATATGACAGCGGCCCATGACGGGCATAGAGGAAGAGGGAGGCTGGTGGAGGCTGTGGTGGCCACAGGGAGTCATAAGTGATAATGGTGAGGAAGGGACAAGTCAGGGGTTTCGGTGATCAGAGGCAGAAGGTCATAGGTGACTGTGGTCAAACGAGGAGTTTAGAAGGAGGAGGTCAGAAACAATGACAGTCGAGGTCAGGAGGCCTAGAGAGAAGGGGGGAAGAACACACGGGAACTCTTTACTCCCCAAATGAGTTTCCCCTGGCAAGGGCACTCACGGCTCGACTTGGGAAGCAGCCCCAGAGAGCCGGTGCGGAGGAGTGGGGAGATGGGGACAGTCGACACTGGGGCTCTGGCCAGGAAGCTTTGATTCATCCCAGAACTAGGTCAGCTGTTTTTTTTTTCTTCTTCTTTTTTTTTTCCTCTCACCAAAAACCAAGGGGGGAAAAACAGGAGTCAACAATCTGATGAAGCCGGAACAGCTGTGGGGTATGGAGGGCGGGCGCTGGTCTCAGGCCTCGTTCTTTTCTCTGAGCTACAAATATGGAGGGAGACTGACCAACCCCCTAAAACCTGAGCTGCTCCCGTGGAGTCTGGGTTGGCCTTGACATTCCCCTGCCCCCAACTTCTCTCTGCAGACCCTGTGGATGTGCTGAAGGCCCTGGGTGTCCGAGGGGGCAAGGATGGGGTCCCTGAGGGGCCTGGCTTCTGCCCCCAGAGGGCCCCAGAAGGTGACCGGGCATTCAGGGTGGGCAAGACTCGCACACTAAGTGTCCCCACGTCAGAGCTCTTTCCAGGTGAGCCGGGATTAGAGGGGCTATCCTGGGAGTCAGTGTTATTTGGGGCCATCCTGGGAGCATGGGTCATCACCAGATCACCTGAAATAACCTTTGCTGCCTGCTCACCAGATGGACACTTCCCGGAGAACTTTTCCATGTTGGCCACTCTGCGGAGCCAGCCAGCCAGCCAGTCCATCCTTCTGTCCATTTATGACGAGTCAGGTGCCCGGCAGCTGGGCCTGGTGCTGGGGCCAGCACTGAGCCTCCTAGGTGCCCATTTCAGTCCCCTCCCCCAGCAGGCCAACCTCACTGATGGCAGGTGAGTGTCGTGTGGATGGGGCTCAAGGAGAGGTGCAATGAGGAGCATCCCACACTGAGACTGTCCCTCTGCAGGTGGCACCGAGTGGCGGTCAGTGTGCACGGCAGGATGATGACCTTGGTGGCTGACTGTGAACCTCAGCCCCCCATACACGGCCAAGGACCTCGATCCATCAGCACAGCCGGACTCACTGTGCTGGGAACCCTAGACCCAGGGGAGGGGCCTTTTGAGGTAGAGATTCGCTCATTGGGGAGACTGAGGCAGAAGGCAGGAGGGAGTTTCATCTAGAAAGGATCTGGAGAAGGGATTAGGGGAGAAGTGCAAACGTCCATGTAGTTCCAGGAAACTGGCCATGCTTGAGTCAGCGGCGTGAGGGTGTGGGGTTGCAGAGTCACGGAACATAAGAGGTGGTGGTGGTGTGTGCACTTGGCCTAATGCAGGTGTTGTGATGTGTGACTAAGAGGCAGACGCCTTTGCCAGTCGTGGCGGGAACAGCTGTGAGCAGCCTGTCTGTAACGGATGCTGTGGTTATGTAGGATGTGGTTGTGGGTTGCATGTTGACAAGGCGTGGTATTGTGTGACTGTGGTTGTGGTGGGTGTGTTTTCATTGTGGTGGTGGCTGTTGCTGGTGACTGTGCTGTGTGGTTGTGATGTGTCCCAGAGACTACAGACCTCTTTTATAGTGCCCCCCCCATTTATCCCCACCATCTAGAAGGGCTCCTAGCACGTAGGGCTTATTAAGTGCCTGAGAGTGAAGGAACAGTTGTGGCCTTGATGTGACTGATGTTGGAAAAGGTATAGTTTGTGGTTGTGATTTTGTATGACTCTGACAGAATCCTTTTTTCTCTGAGTTTCAGAAGTTGGAGGGGCTGTTCTAGAGGGGTTACCTCCTCCTTACACTTTGGACAGAGAAATACCAAACCTCAGTACTGGGAGGTGGGCAGGCTATGCTGGGAGTGGAAGCCAAAGTCAGCCTGTGCCTCCTTCTTCCATCCCATCCCTCCCTAGGGAGACATTCAGGAACTGCTGATACACTCAGATCCTCAGGCTGCCTTTCAGGCCTGTGAGTTATACCTTCTTGGCTGTGACAAGTCGGATCCCTCAACCACAGTGGTGAGTGAGGTGGTGAGTGAGGGACTGTTGCTGAGTGAGGGGCTGTCTTACAGCTGATCCAATGCTCCAGCTCTGGGCTCAGGGATGAGTGAATTCTGACCCCCAAACAGCACTAAGTGACCTCTGACTTCAAACTGAGGTCTCCCTGAGTCACCCTTGGCCCAGGTCACACATAAAAGTGACTCTGACCTTGACCCCAAATCACAGGGTTAAACGAGCCCTGGTATGGAAACACAGCAACATTGGACTTCTGTCAACTCCTTACTGGCATGGCCTCTGTGACCAGGTTTCCCTTAAGGGAGTAGAAGGAAAGGGCTCTGGATCTGATTGAGACTTGCTTCCCAGTCCCCTCAGGGTGAGCCAGAGACCCCTCCTCCCCGACGGAAGGGGAAAGGGAAGGGGAAGAAGAAAGGACGAGGTCGAAAGGGAAAGGGCAGAAAGAAGAAGAACAAAGAAGCTACCACCTTAAGTCCAACTCCTACCTCACTGGAGAACCAAGTAAGGAACCAGTGACTTCTTACCTTTGCTCTTTGACTTCAGCCTTCTGATCTCTGCTCCATGGTCTCTACTTCTGATCTCTAATCCCTGACCTCTGGCTTCTCTAAGCTGATCGATTTTCTATATGGGGGCTGGCCCGCATTTCTGTCCACTCTACCTCTAGACTTGGGCAGCTAGAGAGAAAAGATAGACACACTAAGATAAGTTCCTGATTACCAATGAATTCTGGGGTCTAGTGGTGGTGGGGGTCATTGTTTAAACCATAATATTAGCTTCAAGGGAGTGATAATAAGTCAATTAGTTGGTGCCATGATTTGTAGTTTGCTGGTTGGGGGTCACTGATGAGAGTTATTTGTTGGGGGAGTTATTAATTGAAGGCACTATTTGGTCTTGATTGGAATTTTTAATTGGAGATTACTGAAGGGATGGTTGGGATCAATGTTTGAATGTTCACTAGTTGAGGTTCATTGCTAGAGGTCATTGCTGTGGTGTTACTTGTTTCACTAAGTCAAGGTCAGTGGTTGGGAGTCATTCATGGAAGTCATTTGGTGGGCAACTTCTTAGTTATGGATAAATGAAGGAAGGTTATTAGTTTGGGAGTGATTGATGGTCATTGGTTGGAAGAATGACTTTGGGGGATCAATGATTAGTGGGACATTAGTGGGTCACTTAGGGTATTTACTGGGGGGATGTCACTGATTGATTCACTGGTGGTGCTCATTAAGGAGCAGTGTGTTACGTCTTAGGCTGCTAGCTGAGAGATTGGTGGTTCAAATCCACCGGTTGCTCTAAGGGAGAAAGAGGAACCTCTCACTAAGATTTGCAGCCTCAGAAACCCAATGAAATATGACCAGGAGCTGGAACTAATGATGGTAGTGTTTGTTTTTGGGGATGCAAATTAGTTATAAAGCCAATGGTTAGGGCCTCTTCTGGGAAGGAACAGACAGAGATCATGGGTTGGGAATAACTGGCTGGGGCCATGGCTGGGGGTCAATGAGGGGCATTGTTATTTAGGACTCATTGTTTAGGGGTCCTTGGTATGAGCCATTGGTTTGATATAGTTAATGGAGTCGCTGAGGATTACTTTTTTGGGGGAAGTCACTGTTTGCGAGTCTTTAATGGGGATCACTAGTGATAGAAATAGTTGTTTAGGGGTCATTTGTTGGAGATCACTGGGCAGTGGACAGAGGAGGTCACTGCCTGGATTGGGGTGCCTGTGGATGGGAAGGGTGTCATTGATGGCACTAACTCTGTGCTCAGCATTTGTGGGGCAATGAGATTATCACTTGAGGACCAGGTCACAGATGTCAATAGTAACTGGTTCCTCCTGGCCTTCTTCCTCGGCCCAGGCCCTTCATCTGGTCCCCTCCCCCCATTCCTTGCCTTGACCTAGTTCCTCTGCAGCTGTCCAGATTAGGACGAGCTGCTGCTTGCTTTGACTACAGCCTGGCTGGCTGACTCTTGAGCTCTGCCTTGGGACAAGACATGTGAGAGAGGCTTCCGGGAGTCTGGCCCTGAGTGCTGGATTTTGACTCTGGCTACTGGACTCTAGAGCCAGCTTCCCTTTGCCTGGAAGGCCTCTGGGACCTGACTCAACCTGAGCTTCTCCTCTGCTCTCAATGGCTCCCCCTGCTGGCTTCTCTGGTTCAGCTGTCACCCCTATGCCTTTGTCTCTGCTGGTCAGATTCTGTTCCTTCTAATGTTTCTTGGGAATCCTCTGTCCCTCTCCCCTAGACTGGGAGTTCCCAGGATAGGATCTGCCTCTTCTTTTGCTTCTCCTTTGTATTGGTTGTCGGGATCCCAGCCCTGACACACACCCTTTGCCATGACTCCAGACCTCTGCTGACATCCCCAAGACAGCAACACCATCCCAAACTCTGCCTCCAACTTCTATGTCTCCGCTGGTCCTCACCACCACTGTGTCTGTTGGCAGCAATGTCACCATTCTAAAGGTCGGTGAGAAGTATACAGGACTGGGAGGGGATGCTAGTGGGTAAGAGGTGTATAGGGGTTTGATAGAATGTCAAGGTTGATGGAAAATTTTGGGTTTTCCCAATGCCATTAGGAGGACTTTGACCTTGACAGTGAAATTGAGCAAGAGACACTGGAGACTGAGACGTCTACAGAGGACGAGGAAGAAGGTAGCCTCACCATGGGTCCTACCTTCCGGGAAGCTGAGCAGTCATCACAGACTCAGTTCCACATCTTCCCTGTGAGTCTGGGTGATGGGGTTGGGTGCCAGGGAAGGAACTTTTACCTGGAATCACACAGAGTCACATTCTTTCTCTTGGCTTCTGTTTATCTTGCTTAGAATGCACCTCCTACACACACACACACACACACACACA